GGGAGACATGCTGGGGGCAGGGGAGTGTGTGCAGGGGAGACAGCTTGGGACCAGCCCTGAGCCTGCTCCAGGCAAGTGAATGCACAACTCTACACGTGTGTACAGAAATTTTTAGAAACACCTCACCTGATTTTACCACCTCAGAATTTGGATAAATATCACTTAGAAAGCTACCTTTAAATTTGTAACTAGTCATTACTCCCAAAAAAAAGAGGAGGGGGAGGAGAACCAAAATTACCTGCAGTAAACAGGACTGTAAAACACCGAGGACAAAGCAAAATTAGGAAATCTAATCTGTGAGCGATAAGAATTGGTGCTCAAAGCCCATTTATTCTTGGTTAAAAGGGAGATTAGTAAATACTAGAAAAGTGTTAACACAGACTTCCTGAGTATCTGGAAAGCAGAGCCCAGGAACACGTGTCTTAATTCCCAGGCAAAACCCAGCTGAACACTTTGGGAAACAGGATTTTTCTTTCCCATTGTGTCTCATGAATTTATTTTATATAACCACTCAAATCGTGTTACATATAATGAATTACTACTGTCCTGGTAGTTAGCACCTGGTGTGTCTGGGGGATGGACCCTCAAGTGTTCCTAAGAACTGAAGCCCGTGGCTCTGCCTATAGGGTCCACTAACTGTCAAGCTTCTCCTCAGGCATAAACCATGGGCCTGTGATTGCTGGAGTGATTGGGGCACGGAAACCTCAGTATGACATCTGGGGAAACACGGTCAATGTGGCCAGCCGAATGGAGAGCACTGGAGAACTTGGGAAAATTCAGGTAATTAACAGGGGAATGAGAACTCCCTGCAGAAGTGGGTGTAAGGCCGGCCTGGCACCAGCCAGCATGAGACTGTAGCTGCACCATTCCTGAGTGAAAGCAAAGAGGTGCTGCCGCTCGCCAGCCAGTTTCTAGTGGTCACAACCACAGATGCTTCCTTTGGCTTCTTTTCAGGTCACTGAAGAAACATGTACCATCCTGCAAGGACTGGGCTATTCCTGTGAGTGCCGTGGGCTGATTAATGTCAAGGGCAAGGGCGAACTGAGAACTTACTTCGTCTGCACAGACACTGTCAAGTTTCAAGCTTTGGGGCTGAACTGAGGGCTGCCAGTGGATTTAGCACATGCTACTTCCTTCCCTGAAACAAACTAAAAGATGAACCATCACCATGACGGTCACACAGGCATCCATCAACTCTTGACAAGAGGCTCTGCCTGGACTTCACTGGAATCACACTGGAGGATCTCTTCAATGTGTACCAGATTCTGGCGCAAGAGTGCCTGCAGCCAAATAGAAATAGAAGAGAAGTTCCTCAACTTAGTGAAAAGTACATATACAAAACCAAGAGTCAACTTCACTCTCAAGGAAGAATGAATAAAGGCATTCCCCTTGTGAACAGGGACCAGACAAGGATGCCCATTTTCACACCCCCTATTCAATACTGTCTTGAAAGTATTAGCTAGGGCAATAGAACAAGAATAGGATGCATCCAGATGGGCAAAGAGGTTGTAAAACTCTTCCTATATGCAGCGGATATGATAATGTACGCAGAAAACCCCAAGGACTCAGCAAAAAAACCTGTCAGACCTAGTAGACCAATTTAGTAGAGTGGAAGGATGTTAAGAGTAATAGGGGGGGAAATCAGTGGGATTCCTCTACAATAACGCTGAAAGAAACCAAGAAAGCAATACAATTTCTAATAGCCAGCCACAAATTGAGATACTTGGGAATAAACTTAACTAGAGACACAAAAAAGAACTTTACAAAGAAAACTAAAAACACTATTGTGAAAATTGTTGAGAGACCTAATGATATACAAAAATGTTTCTTGTTCATGCACAGACTCAGTATAGTTAAAATGACTGTCCTCCCAAAAGCAATCTATGTGTTCAGTGCAATCATGATAAAGATTGGTGGAGTTTACCTTTCAATGACTTTTCCTAGCTGTTGTCTGACTTTTCTGAGTAGATGGGTGGGAATATTGAATGGACTGTGCTGGCCTATCCAGAAGGGGATTGGATAGTCTTGCTATTGAACTGAGCATGCCAGCAGTGAGAGGCAGAGAGATCTTCCTCTGCCAGTGAAGAAGAGAACTCCTCCCACCCGGAGCAAAGAAACCTCCCACTGGGAGAGGAACATCCATGGCTAAACTGCAGACAGGACATAAGATGGACCTTCTAGGGGATGGGAGAGGAGCCAATACTGGCAGGGCTGAGAAATTTGTTGGGACTAGTAGGGGTGCGAAGCCAATATTGGCAGGACTGAGAATTTTATAACACTGGTCTAAAGCTATGAGGTTCAAGGCTGAGGTGCCTGTGTGCACATTTAGGGTGTTATCTTGACTGTATTTTACTATTTGCCTGTATTATAACTTTTTTATTTCTCTAACAAGGTTCTGTGTGGTCTATAAGCTATTGCATCAGATTTTGGACCCAGCAAGTCAGTAAGATTGGTGTTGAGAAAGAGGTATGGGAATGTGGGGGATGTATCTGACCTCAAAGGAATTAGTTATGTTACTGATGCTGTTGACAGGGACAGTTGCCCTTTGAGAATTTGGTAAAGGTGAGATATGGCCTTTCATGTGGCCTTTGCTCTTTTTACAGATACCAAATTCATTTTTTCAAAGAGAGAGAAAATGCAACAGGCAAGTTTATGTGGAGAGGAAAGAAGACTCTGAACAAGCAAAGCAATTCTGGGAAAAAAATAATGAAATGGGAGGCACAGCAGTTTATGGGATTAGTTTGTAAAGTCTCTGAAGTTAGCCTGGCTGCAGGGACAGAGCTTCAAGAAATGTGGCCCATAGCAAGAAGACAAAGAAGCTTTGGCTATGAAACCAAGAACTGTTAGGTATACAGGGTCAGGTTCAAGAAGCCGAAAGCAAAAATAAAGCACAACCTTTCAGCTGGTTCCTCATTACTCATGCATTTCTGAGGTCTGTCTTACAATCTTTAACTGTAACTTAACTTTGGTACTGGAATGGAATCTGTAGATTGTTAGTGCTTCAGGCCTAGTGGGTAAGGAGCTGTGCTGCCAACTCAAAACAGGTGGTGGGAATCCACCAGCCACTCCAAGTAAGAAGGATGGGCAATTTCCTCCTGTGTGTTTACAGCCTCCCAAAAGTCATTGTAAGGTCTCTAGGAGTTGGTTCTAATGCAATGGCAATGAATGAGTAAAATTTTAAGAACTTCATAATGAAAAGGTTGATTGATTTAGCATGTGCAAAGGCTCCTGTAACTGGTAAGACATTCCTCATACAAATGCAAACATACTGTTGGCCAAGTCAAGTCAGTCTGGCCAAGGTAAGGCAAATGCAAAAGGGCAGACTGTGGAAGGGTATCTTGCTATGTTCACACTCCATCCAAGTAACAACTGACATCTGAAGGTGAGCAAGAACCAAACTGCTTACTCCTTTTCTTGAACTGCTCCACTGCCTCCGATCCAGAGCACAAGGAGTAACATTTAACACCGTGAAGGTTTTAAATACAACTGAATTGCATTACCTAACAGGAATTCCTAACCTCTATGCCATGTGCTCAAAAAACTCTTATAAACAGGAAACATCAAATGACTGTACAGAATTGTAGACAGTTAGCACGGGCCCTCTGGTGGTTTGTAGGGAGAAGCACTGTTAATCCCAAGGTGGGGCCTCTTGGCAGTTTGAATCCACTGGCAGTTCAGCTGTAGAAGGTCAGCTGTCAATTGGTTCCGACTCGATGGCCATGAGTGAGATACAGTGCTATTCATTCCGAGCTGCCTGGACTGAGGCGCTCAGGAGGTGAGCTCTCACTGAAATGCAATGTACTGTGTGCCTGGTGTCCTGCTGGTTGGCTTTAATGGCACAAACAAGGGGGGCTGTTTCTAATTTGAACAGAGGTGCTGGGTGGGCTTGTAGTGGTTCTACATTACTGCCTGTAATTAGAATCAGCATAATGTATTAGATGAATTTATTCTTCAGAGAAATCTTAGTAAGAAATGTATACTCTTAAAATCTAGGGGGCCGAGAGCTTCAGGAGGTGTCCTGGGAAGTCTCTATGCTGACAGAATGGAGACAGTCAGTGGGCTACACAGTAGGTTTCCAGATCCTGTAAACTGCACGGGAAGACTGTCTGTCTTTCTCCTGCAGAGCAGCTGGTGCCTTTGAGTTTTAGTGGAATGACACAGTGACTGTAATCAGAGCTGGTGAGGATGACACAGGATAGAGCCAGGCTCAAATGCTGTTCACAGGTCCGATGAGAGTCAGTCGACACAATGGCACATAACAGCAACAAGAGCCTTCGGGCTGTTTACCACTAGGCCATCAGAGTTCTTGGGCCTCTACTTTTACAATATCCATTCCCCCCCTTTCGGAACAGGAGCTCCCACTGAATTGTCTTCCCCAAAAGACATGTATGTAATGATACAACTAGAGACTCTGTAGGAGCTCCAGTGGTGTGGTCCATGGGGAGCTGCGCTAACTTAAAGGCCCTGCCTCACTGGCAGTCCGCTCTGCTGGCGTAGGAGTAAGGGAACTGTGCTGTCAACTCAAGAGTATGTGGTTCAAATCCACCCACTGCTCCATGGTAGAAAGATGGGCAGTGTCCTCCCATGTAATTTACTGCTTCTGAAAACCTGCTGGAGGGTCACCTATGGGTTGGTCCCTACTCAATGGTACTCAGTAACAGTGGTTCCAAGTCTGACTCAATGGCACTAAGAGAAGCGAAGTAAAGATCCTCAAAGATCTGATAAATGAAATTTATAATCCCATAGCAGCCTTTATCTGACATGAGGAAGTTTACCAAAGGTGGGGGCTGTAAAACTTTTTATCTAGAAAAGTTAAAAAGGGAGCAAAGTAAGAAGAAGGGAGCACCTCAGTACAAGCAAGAAAGAAATGACATGAGTGGGGTCCTTTTGGCCCCAGACTGCTAAGAAATGCCTGGCTGCAGGGCTTCGTCCACACCAGACCACGAGGGCCTTCTCCGAGAGCTGGTACCCTGAATTTGGACTTGTGCTTTTGAAAGTATAACACGGTAATAAATTTACTTGTTAACAAGCCAGGCACTTCTGGGATCTGTTACAGCAGCACTAGATAGGGAGTTCTGGTGGCGTAGTGGTTAAGAAGCTGCACTGTAATCCCAAAGGCATGAGGTCCGTCCGAAGCCACCAGCTGCTCTGTGGAGGAAGGATGGCAATCTGAAAGCCCGCTGGAGGGTAAGCTAAAGCCTGGTCCTGACTTAACGGCACCAAACAACAACAACAAAGACAGGAGTCATTTTTCTTCTACTTCTCATCATTTTTCAATTGTCATTTTTCTTTCATTTCCAATTAAGGCACTGAGCTTAAAATAAGAATGGTATGTTTTTAGTTCTCATGTATAGGTCAAAGTTAAAATAGACAGTCAATTCATCTGCCGTTATTTTAGAAATCTGCCTTCTAATTACCAAGTAATTCTGTCACAGGTGTCATTTGTGACAGAACAAATGTCTCTTCCAACACACTGACTTTTCTGTGGGTTAGAGGACTTGCTGACTCTAGGGAAAACACTTGGTTTACTATGAATGTTGTGTTAGGAAACTTCCTAAAACGTTGTTGTTACGTGCCATCAAGTTGCTTGCGACTCATAGCGACCCTATGTACAAGAGCTCTAAATGCTGTTCTATCCTGTGCCAACCTAGCCATCTCAAACGCACTTATTCCCACCGCTCCAGTCACAGAATTGATACATCTCACCAAAGGTCTTCCTCTCCTTTGCCGCCCCCCAATCTGCCAAACATGAGTCCCTCTCCAAGGACCAGTCCCTCCTTGCAACATGCCCAAAATATGTCAGACGAAGCTTCAGAATCCTTGACTCCAGGGAACACTCTGGCTTCACCCTCTCCAGGACAAACCTGTTTGTTCTCCTAGCAGTCCATGGTATATTCAACACTCGTCTCCAGCACCACAGCTCAAAGGCATCAATCCTCTTTCTATCAACCCTATTCACTCTCCAACTCTCTGATGCATAGCACGTAATTGCGAAGACTATAGCCTGGATCAGGTGTACCTTAGTCTCCAGCCTGACATCATTGCTCTTCAGTACTCTTGAGAGGTCCCTCACAAGCTGTCTTTCCCAATGCAATTAAACATTGTACACACCGCATATACAACACCTCAACATACAGACATATGATTTGAGACGGTCTATGTAAATAATAGGGAGCTCTGGAGGTCTAGAGGTAAGAAGCTGTTCTGCAATAGTTCTATTAACAGATCTTACGTGTGTGTGTAAGGATAATATCCTCTCACTGACAGCACTGCACTTCAGGACAGATTTTGAGACGTTCTTCTTGAGATGAACACGACACCATTTCTCTTCAATCTGTCATTCCCGATGTGAGAGAGATGTTCGTCTGAATGAAAATGGCCAATGCTGGTCCCTCGCAGCTCGCGAACTCTTAGGACACAGGTCCTAGGAAACGGACTCCATTTTCATTTATGACAACTTCCAATTTTTCTACATCATCCTAGATCACTGTACAGCCCATGTTCCCAACAGAAATGGATGCTTGTAACTTTTCTGAGTGCCTTCCCAACTGAGGGGCTCATGTCCTGCCAGTGTGTCCAACAATGTTCCTGCTATTACTCATAGGGTTTCTGAAGGTCAGTTGCTCTAGTCCTGCTTCCTAGTCTGGAAGCTTTGCTGAGATTTGTCCACCATGGATGACCCTGCTGTGGCACAGCTCTGGGCACTGCAGCACCTTTCAAGTCATCCTAATACAGTGGACTGCCCATCGTGTGAGTACTGCAAACTGGCAAGTGCCATCCCTGTAAAAGTAAACTATCAAACGAACAAGCACGCTACACCACACAGGAAACAAGCTGGGTTAGCCTGTGACAAAGGAGCTACCAGCTTCAGCAAAAGACTGGATTTGAGGGACCCAATCCGGTCAGCTTCTGTTCATCTGAGCAGTGAGAGTCCCCAAGATGTGAGCCTCTCTTCAGGCTAAGCGTGTGGGGAGGGGCATCCAGCCTAGGGAAGTGTTTCTGCTGGCCTCAGGAGCCCAGGCCAGTCTACGTGGCTGGAGATGGTGTGTTCGCCCGTCTAGGGGCTGGATGCAGGCAGGATACCCAGTCAGAGCCGGCGAGCTGACTTGTCTCTAGTGGGTGACCAAACGTGGTCATGGGGTGTGCTGAGTGAGCTCATGAAGAGGGAAAGGTCCTCGGAGGAGGAGGTACTGACACTGATTTGGGCCCGAGTGCTGGCACTGTCACAAACTGAGGCCTAGCTTTTTAGAAACATTATTAGGTCATCTTTAACCCTCTTCGGAGAAACAGTTTTCCTTCACCATATTTGTACTTGCTCAATGTTCTTTTCAAATTCCAGTTCCATTAGAGGTTTCTGGAGGGGTGTTTTATATGCACAAGAAGGATCTACATAATCCCAGCAGGGTCTGCTACTGTATTTACTTACTCATCTAGATGGCATACACTTTACATTTTTATACTTGCTTTTTAAAAAAAAAAAATTAAAAAAAGTTACTTTACTGAACCAGTCTCAGAAAAAACACTCGACATCTCAGTCACATAAACTATGGTTATATAAGGTGGGAAAGAACATGTTTCCTACTTAAATAAGTAAACTGCTTGAGCATCTGACCCTTTGCATTTCAGATAAAACTGTATCAAGATTCTTATAGTGTAGATAGGTGATCTTTGTGAAATGGTATCTGAAATGTGAGGAGTGTGCCTTAAAGCTCAGTAATTATTCTATTCATAGATGTTTTTGTTTATTTTTTTACTATACCACTAAACAACTGTCTCAATGAAGAAAAAACCCAAACATAGGAGTTATTGCTAAATTAATTTGGAGGTCTGGCGGCCTAGAGGTAAGAAGCTGCACTACAATCCCAAAGGCACGTGGTTCAATTTACCAGCTGTTCCACGACGGACAGTCGTCCTCCTGTGCAATTCACTGCCTGAAAACCCACTGGCGGGTCAGCTAGGAGTTGGCATATAACAATAACGTCAGGCTTGCAAGGTGGAGGTAAGCAGGCATTCCTGAGGGGGCCATCCTAAGATGAGATCTGACAGGTTGTTATTCTTTAAATGTAGTAAATGTGGGATTTCCAATCATTTGGGGGACTCATTTCTTATAATTGTTATGAAAATGGCAATTTTATTTCTTAAGCTTCTCCATTTAGTATCTATCAGTAAAGGTCAGGGGTCAGCTGACATGCATGATAGAACTGAAGAATCCCAGGTTCAATGTTATTGCTTAATAGAAGCCCAATCTCTGGAACATTAAAACTGTTCCAAAGTTTAATTAAAGACACAATTTACAAATATTTAAAACCCTTAGAAAAACACTTCTAAGATAATAATGAGGGGGGAAAGTACATTATATATAATCAAATACCATTTAGTTTTAATTTCCATCAGGTACACATTCAGCAACATTACTCCTGTTAGGATCTTCAAAATCTGAAAGAGAGAGACATAGCACTGATTTCCAACTTAGTCACAATTTTCTTCCTTTTAATTAAAAAAAAGAGAAGTAAAGATAAACTAGCCTCTAGAAAGGTGTTAACCAAGCTGTGAGCAATGAGTGTGGTGGTCCTGACAGCTATTAATGCAAAAGTGGTAAATCTATTCATTCTTAAGACAAGATGGGAGGAGAATGAAATGTAGTTTATACATTAAAGGCCCCAAAGACATAATCTCCCCACTGTTATCTAAAGCAGAGGACTGATGTTCCTTCATTCTACTCAACAACAGTGTTCTACTTCCAGAGAAATGCGGCACATACCTTCTCTTAAATCGACAAAGCTGTCTTCTCTGACTGGAGAAGGGATGGAAATCCCCATTGCTTTCCGAACTCCGTACATGCTGACAATGTCACCGGGGGTAACTTGCTGTGCAAGCTCTTTAAGATTATTAGTCACTTGTTCAGCTACAAAGAAAAATCCGAAGAATGGTAAATGGATAAAGCACACAATTCCACTTCACATTTCACTGAATATTATGTAAGTCATCACTGTATAAGTTTTCCTTTCAGCACCCGGCTCTCTTCACCCACCCCCGCAGTGTCACATACCAAGGTGCATTTCTTTGTATGAAGGACCCAAAAGACAGATCATGTTGGGTGGGGGTCTGGTGCTCAGACGTTCGTTTTGGGCTTCCTGGAGTTCCCGAAGCAATTTGGTGGTCTCATCAAGTTTCCTCTGGAACACTTCAGCTTCTGTGTGATGGTAAAAAACCCAACTAATAAAACACAGCACTCATTTTGGGCCTATGCAGCACACAGAGTTCTATTCTCAGTAACAGGTCTGTTCTCAAAGGTGTTTTTGAACGGGTTATGACTCACAATGACCCCACAGACATGAACCTCCTCTATACTTTTCTAGGCTGTAATCTTTAAAGGCAAGCGTGCCAGGGCTCTCTCTTGAGTAACTGGTGTGGCCTGAACCCCCAACTACTCCACTAGCAGCTGAGTATTTAATACTGCATCACCAGGACTGCCTCAAAGGGATGGTTCCCTTCAAATGAAAAACAAAACAAAAGTTCCACGTGTTACCACTCATTTAAACGTTAACCAAGGTTTGGCCACACTGATCTCTAACTCTTGACTGCCTGTGCTGGGCAGTATTTCTAATAAACCCTCAACTGTTTTCCCAAACAGTCTTACCTCTGGAGCTAAAGACTTCAACTGGCCAGCTAAAGTTTGTGACCACTTTCAGCGCTGTGAGCCTGTCCTGGTTACTGCTGTCCAAATGCTCTGTGGCCTCTATTTCCATAACCGCCTTTTAGAAACAGAAACGAGGGATGTGAACTTGTAAAGCCATGACTCTTTTAATTAGAAAATCAGTAAGATAGCTTGTTTCTAAGCAAAGCTCTTCCAACTATTCACGAGAGTGGTAATTTTAACACCTACGAGATGACTGTCTACCCAGATTACTTAAAAAAAAAAAAAAAAAGTAGTATAAATCCGTACTTCTGGTTATTATACTTCATTTGCATGGTAGCCATTCTAAGGGGGGGGGGGAAATCAGTGGGCCTTAGTGCTGCCTTGACAAAATCCTGCCATGAGATTCTGGTGGTCAGCACCAGGACAGACAGCTCTCACACCACCAAAGTAAATGTTGGAGCCCACACATCTGCAATACTCTTTTCCATAAAATGCTTCCTGGATGGCTCCCAAGCCCCAAAGGTAGGTAGTCTCTGTTACAAGTAAGGAACAAAATCCAAGAAAGGGCAGAGTTTAGGACTCAATGTTTCCATAACTGTGGTGCTGCTTTTTAAGGAATAGATAAAGCCATATAACTCATGAGCCCAACAATGTTATAGCTTTTCAAGTAGAATTAATGTAAAAACTAGATTTCTTACCTATATATGGGATTAAAAAAAAAACACGGTAAGGAAAAAAATGTGTACTTTTTCAACCTGGCAACAGTATGCTTTGTAAACTAGGTCTTCAAACACCAAATTTCTTTCACTCTTGCTCCTTCTAAGCAAGATGTTTGTGTAAATTTCTTTACCATCCGTACCTGTCTTTACTTGATCTCACTCGCAAATTTATCTTTTCTCTCAGCAATTAAAAGTGCTTAAGCTTCTCCAATCTTAAATGTGTCTTCAACTCAGTTTTCCTCCACGCTGTTAGCTCCCTGAAATGACACTCACTGGTCTTTTCTGCAGCATGTCCATCCTGAAGTCGCTAACTCCCTGGGCCACATTCACAGCACAGATCTTGTAGATACATTCACAAACACCCTTACCAAGCCAAGGCGTGTTCTTTCTCCTGTGCTGTCTTTATAAGCTAGTGATTCTATTGACTGTACAATGCACTATGTCCTATCACTTGAAGTGCTATTAGAGTTCCCAATATGCCCCAGTTAGGAACTAGAATTCTCTTTGCACCGTCATGCTTGTCATTTCTTGCTTAAACACATTCACAGCTTTTCACAAGGTCACCTTCCTACATACTTTATAACAGCAGCATCTTTTAGGACTAAATCTCAGATTCTTAGCACTGCAAACAAGCCTCTGCATCATGTGGTCCTCAGCACCTTTCCCTCCTCCCCCCAAGGTAAGCCCTGCTCTCTGATGTTCTATGTCACAACACAGGCCATTCTATCACTGGAAACCCCTGGCCATCTCTGCTTGTTTAATGCTGACTTATCTTTTTAGACTCAGACCAAGGGCACTTCCTCTCCGAAGAATGTGTGTAAACCCAAGTGTTTCTCCACTATGTGCTTCTCCAGCATGGGCTCTCCACCACATGATGCCACTGTTCCCAGGCTTGGCTCTTGCACGCTGCTGAGCCCCCGACGAGCAAGAACTAGTCCCTGTTATCTCAGAAGATACTCTATATTTTCCTTTTAAAATAAATAAGGGTCTAATAATACATAAGACTTTTGGCTTATGTTCTATTTACGTTTCTTTAAAAAAATAAAATATAATCACCTCAGTATCTTTTATTGTGTCAGGTGTTCTGGTCTGGTCTTCATCTTCAGGTAATGACTAGAAGGATAAAGAAAACAATTCTTTATTAAAATATGTGAAAATAGAAAAATAGCAAAGTCCATGGTAAGAGAAAAGGAATAAGAATATAAATCACTGGAAAATGAGTTCAATAAAATCATTATGGCATTCTGACAATTTTACTGGTATCTTCAAGACTGGTATTTCCACGCAAGATTAAAAGTTATGTAAAACTGTAAGACTATATCTGATAAACAGTTAAATAAATGCAGTCTGTTTTCAGTAACAGGTCTGCTAAGAAGGAACTCCTCTGCATTAACAGAAGCAATACTTTCTGATAAAGATTATAGTCGGGTACTAACAGAATGTGAAAGTTTCCCATTATCTTGTTCCTTCAGAGATAATCTATATAATAAATAGGAAAATGTATCATGGGCATTAATCAACTATCCACTGTCCTTTTTTTGAAAGTATACTGTGACTGACTTATTTAACTAGTTCCCCAATTTTTAAAAATTAAACAATGTTACAATGACTTTTTTTAAAAAAAACACAAAACAAACATTTTATTACCTTTTGTGTGTACCATCAAATCAGATCTGACTGGTACAGGAGGAGATTGCTCCTCCTTCTCCAGCAGAGCATCTGGTGGATTCGAACCATTTACCTCTGGGATTGCAGTGCAGCTTCATGCCACTAGGCCACGAAAGCTCCCTTTACAATATTCTTATAGAGAACTGATTTTATCCTCTGAGGATTTTGTCCTCTGTGGTGCAGCAGGCTACATGCTGGGCTCTACCCTGAAATGTTAGCTCTCCACGTGCTGTTTTTTGGTGGTGGTGGGGAAATATTTACAGCCTTAGAAACCTGGTAGAGGGTTTCTATGAGTCAGGATTAACTTGACGGCAGTGTATTCAGTATTTTGGGCTTTGATATTCTAATGTAAATTCCAAAAAAAGGAGTAACTTCATCAAAGGGCGGAGAAAGTTCAAATTTTGGAGTACTCTTAGGTACTGCTGAGTCGGAACAGAGTCAAAGGTCTATTTCCAGTAAGTTTCCAGAGGCCGTAAAGTGCCGACAGGCCACTGCCCATCCTGCTCCAGCACAGCAGAGACTGGATTTGAACCACATGCCTTTGGCAACTCACAGGCAGCTCTTTAACCCTAAGGTCTGGGGCTGAGTGCCAAATTAACTAAATGTGGAATATTCAGGTTTGGCTACAGACAACTAAGTCAGATCTGCCGGCAGGATGTATTTTGGAACTGATACATAGTATAACATACTTAGGTCATGTGACAAAAGCAGCACACATGCCGAGATTTCACAGTGGTTATCAATGAACTGACTTCAGCTCTGCTGATAGGTCACAAGGAATAGCATCCACATGTGTAGCAGTGGGCAGAGGACCCCCCCCCCTATTTTCACCATTAAGAGTTAGGACCTCTGAGGGATACAGTGTTTCTGTAACTAAAGTGACAAGGCACTCTGTTATCACGCTCAGCATTCGTAGAACATTTTCTTTCTCTACTCTTTGAGCCATTACTGAGTTAGTCCAGAGTATAAACTATCTTCAACTAAACTATGTAAGAGACAGCTAGCTCATAAACGTCAGTACTCGACTAACTGCCATCCAGTTGATTCTGACTCAAGCCAATCCTCTATTGAGCGTCCGAGGTCGTAAACCTTTCCAGGCCAACACTACTCCATCCTTCTCCTGCAGCGCTGCGAGCGGGTCTGAACCAGTGACACGGGAACCGACATGGGAACCGTTGGGTTGGCAGCAGGACCTGCTATGACCTTTACCACCAGAGCTCCTCCCAGATGGTAAGAGAAGGGAGGGGAAAAAAACACAACTTCTTAGCGTTTCAGCTAACTTAATTTCAAACCAGAGGGAAATACTTCCTCTCTTTTGTTATGGTACACAGCACTTGCTGAGTTTTATATTTTACTGGATTCCCCAAATGAAGAAATAATGATAATCCTCTGGACCTCATGGATTCTGGTCAAGAACACTCTTTCTGGTCACTGTCCTTCACACAGGATGGCTCCCTTTGCAGGGTGATGGAGTTCAGCTGTCATGCTAGTTAATATCATGTATGACTGAAAGCCAACAGGAAATTCCCATTTCTTTAGCAGGGCTCTTACCGTCTCTAGCTCTTGTAGGGTCTTAGAATGTTCTCCTTTTGTTAAAACATCCAATAAACTATCTGCCATAACATATGGATAATCCTGACATGTGGCTAAAAACTCATGGAGGCTGAAAAGAGAGTGTATAGCAAAGTCACATTCATTGTCTTGCTCTTTCTATATCACCAGCTACTTCCTTTATACCTTAATACGAAACTTTCTATCTACGCAAGATGCTTTACGTACTTACCAGTGACAAACTGATCATCAAAGAATTAAACAGTAACAACAAAAACACAGTAAAAATGAAATGTTCCTGGGGGTTCTCAAAAAAAGATGAAGGAAGGATGCAGGGTTCAGTCTCTGGGTCTTTTCACCTTCATTTCCTATCTATGGTGATTTCTTCATCTCAGGATCTGTGTATGTACTGAAAACTCTGTAAGTCACACCTCTAATTTTGACCACACATCCTGGATAGCTCTACTGGATAGTCTAGTAGGCATGACAAACTCAAAATGTCAAGAATTCAGCTTTAAGGTGGTATCCTCAAAGCAGTTAATGTTCTTAAAACTCAGGCTGAAACCTCTGGAGTTAGAATCCTTGATTTCTTTCTTCTGCATCCTGCTTCATCCAAAAAGAGGGGTTCTGGGGCGCTTTCGGCTGCTAACCAAAATGTCAGCAGTTCAAACCCACCAGTCACGACACAGTAAAAAAGCGAGGCTTTGTGCTTCTGAAACCCTTTTTACAGGCTTGAACCCTGTGGGGCAGTTGTAACTCTGTCCTACAGGGTTGGCAGGAGTCACAATTGACTCACTGGCCGTGGGTTCATCAATGAAGACATTCTATTGGCTCTACTGGCTTTTCCACACAGAAGGTGCCACTTCAATGATCCAACAACTATCATTTCTCTTCTAGACTGTGTTGGCAAATCTGCTTGTTTCTGACCTCATCCCCTTAGAGTTTTGTCTCCAGGGCAGTCAAAAGAATTAATTCCAAATTTTAAGACTGGTTCATGACTCTATTCAAAACCCAACAGTATTTCCCCGTCTCATTTTAGAATAAAGGCGTGACTGCTCACCCAAGTTTTTGCTCAACTCCCCCCTCAGCAAACAAAGCTGTCCCTAATGATTTGATTTGAACATGCACCCATCTCCCAATCACAGCACTACCTGGTCTACCTTGCAGCATTACTTTTCTCCAAAGCACTTACAGCAGGAGTTTGTCTAATCTACAAAGTTAAGTTCTCTCTTGCACATAATGAAAGCTGACAAGTTAACCAGTGTAATACCAAGATGGAATAATTCAAGCTCAAAGTCCCCACTCTGACCCAGAAGCCAGAGAAAATTAGTGCCCACCATCCTAAACTCGAATATTCTATCTAGATATGTAATGTATTAGATGACTTACTCATACAGGGATGGGCTTAAAAATTGAGTCACTGTACCCTATCTTTTATCTTGAAACAAAGTTCTGTGGGTTCCAAAACTGAGGAAGTCTGGGAACACACCTCAATGACAAATGTTGTTATAGTCAGATAACAAGTTAAAAGGCCATTGTAATAAGCTCCTGAATGGTATCATCAGCTCAAGTATGCAGTGTCTTAAAAATACCTTTCTAGGCTCTCGGCTGGATGCTGCTGTGTCAGCACGTGGGAGCCCGGGTTCAAACTCGTAATAAACTTTGTTAATTCAGAAACCCCCCCCCAAAAAAACCAAAACAAAAAAAAAACATTTTAAAGAATGAAAATAGTGTAGATGTTAATATATGAAAATACTGGGGACATGTAGGTTCTTTTATATTGTTTCTAATGTCTATGTCAATTTTGGAAAATAAATTAACATATTCAACTAGCTAGATAACTTTGTAATTCCATCAATAAATCACATGTACATTGTTTTTAAAGAAATATGTACTCAGAATATTAGCTGGTGACTCACCTGAAATCACTCGGAAGATCATAGTCTTCCCCATAGGTTGAATAGATTAAATCAGAATCATCCTTGCTGATATTTGCAAACGTGGAGTCATAATGTGGTGCATAAGAACTGTAAGGCCCATAATTCAAGTATAACACTGTTGATAAAAGAATAAATACTACCTTATTTTTCAACTTACATATAAATCTATTTTCATGTTTATGAAAAGATGATTTTCCAACTTTGACAACACTGATAGTAACTGACATATGAAATTTCCTTAGGTCTTCGTAAAGTCCTAAATTGAGTGAAATTTTCCCCACAAAAGGGAAAGAAAAAGAGGTCAACATGTTCTAATTCTGAACATCAAATTTTTCCATCTCTTTGAAAAATGATGACATAAAATAGCTAATTGATGCTGTGAAGCACCAGTAGCGGTCGTGAACAGCATGACTGCTAACTCTGTTGCCTTTTCTTAGCTCCCTGAGAGGGAAACCCATGAACTACTGGACTCAAATTTTACCTGGATTTACTTTGTTCCTTTTATCTTCTTTGAAGCCCTGCAAAGTATTCACTCCAGACTGAAGTCTTCCAGTGGTCATTCCCAGTCTCACAGGGCAGTAGCCTGGTTCTAAAACATAAAACCGAGTACAGGACGCGTAAGTAGTGTGACCACAAGGAACCTGGTAGAGTGATCTGACCCAGCACATTACTTCATGCCATCCATACGGCCCTGGGAAGCAGCTAGCAGCCATTAGGAAATGAATTTTTAAAATAAGAAAAGGTAGGAATGTAACTGTGGTGTAGGCAGCATGGTTGCTAAGCCTTGATCCTTGGTTCTTCTGTCCACCACAAGGTTGGTTGGGAATATGTGTGAGTAAATGTCTTCCCACAGAACTGGTCAGTTTTGCCATCCCACTGGATTTGAACTGAGCAGACTGAGCAACAGCAAATGGGAATCTCACTCGCCCAGCAGCAAAGCATGCTCAGCATGTCCTTCGGGGCTAGAGAATCCTGCGCTCCTCAGACTGGGACCTCAAGGGAAGAGGAGCAAGAGCAGAGAACCACAAGTCAGCAGAAGACACAACTGCCTTGTGGCTGCTGCCCCGGAGCCAGAGCCAGCAGCTTTTGCCCACGCTGACTGGAAGGCTGGGGTCAGGACTAAGCGGGTCTGTAACACTGACCTAAATGCTCGAAGGGACTGCAGCTCGCTGCCAAGCCTCTCTGGAACCTGTTAATGGCCCCCATAAGCCTCCTAACCCTACAGTTCTATGAGGTGCGCGTGGCCACTGCAGTGAAGCAACAGACTCACTAGTACAGCCGTGAGCACCCTGGGTGGTGGTAGAAGTCGGGGTGGAGGTGAGGCCTGACAGGGATCGGCGTGTGCTGTGAATACTGTTCACGGCTCCTCTCTCTCCTTGTGAAATCAGTGCAGTTAGACGGGGCCACCCCTTCATGCCACCTGCATTCTTTTTGTAATAACCAAAAATATACTTCATCTGTTCCTAGATTTCTTTAAAAAAATGTGGAATAAGGCTGATTTTCTTTTCCTTTGACAAGAATTAACCTTGATTTAGGGAGCTCTGGTGGCCTAGTGGCAAAAAACTGCACTACAATCCCAGAGGTATGCGGTTCAAATCCACCAGGTGCTCTGCTGGAGAAGGAGGGGAAATCTCCTCCTGTACCAGTCAGATCAGATTTGATGGTACACACAAAAAATAATAAAATAAATTCAAAAAACCCCCTTGATTAAAAAATTAAAATCAATAGAGGGTTATTTCCTAATATTCTTAATACATTCCTAATATATAATACACATTCATGATGCTTTTCGTTGACCAAGAACTGGCTGCAACGAGTTACAGAGACGTCATTTAAAAATAAGTTTTATGGGGAGCTCTGGTGGTCTAGTGGCAAGAAGCTGCACTGCAATCCCAGAGGCGCATGGTTCAAATCCACCAGATGCTCTGCCGGGAAAGGAGGGACAATCTCCTCCTGTACCAGTCAGATCTGATTTGACGGTACACAGACACACAAAATAAAAATAAAATAAAAAAGTTTTATTAAAAAGACTGAAAAGCTAGACTTTCTAGTGTTAGGGTGATGGAAATAAATCTGTAGAAAGGGTTAGTAAAAGCCTAAATAAAAAGCAACAATTCAAATATATCAAAGATAATACAACTAGCTCTGGCATGCCTAAGGAGCAGAGCCTGTAGTGAGTCTCATGAAGATAAATGGCCTCACTTCCCTGGTGGTGTGAATCCACCAACTCCTCTGCTGGAGAAAAACGGCCCTCTCATCCCATTAAGATTTACAAAACCTCTGGCACGCCGGCCGACTGGTCAGACAAGGAGACCAACAATGGTGTTACTGCTGGACCTTCTCCAACAAAGACACCAAACCCCCATACTAAGTAGATAACAGAGAACACTCCTGAAAGGCTGAAATTCAAAGGAAATAAAAAAGGAAGGAATGAAATGAAAAATGCCAAATCACAAGAGATGAAGCAGAGCTGAGGGAACGGAACCAATGCTAATACACACCCACCTTGATCTCTATCTGGGGGGTTTGGGGTTCCTACGAGGACCCAGAATTTTGAAACAGTGGTACGTATCACCAGCAGGTTTTCTTGGTAATATGTGTGTTTTTTTTTTAAAAAAAGGCTTGACTCATCCCTTCTCCCTCTATTCACCACCGAGGAACAGTGGAGTGACCACATGACAGCAGGCAGGGTTCCCCTTGTCCCACCCCAGCTCTTCCTGAGAAGAGGCTCATGCCACTTTGAATATGGTAATGGGAGTTCATGCACCAACCAGCTCCAGCCTGTGATCCACTTTGATAGTGTGCTGGGCTGCGGCCCGCCTGAGACGGTCAGAGTCTACACCAGCCTCAAATCTGACGAAAGCCTGGTCTGGTCTGGGGTCCTATTATCTAGTACAGGACCACAACCACACTCGGAGTTCATTCCAACACAGGAACTGGCCATCTTGAACTTGGTGGAGTGACCTTCAGCAAAAAGCTCCTATCATTTTAGTGTAAGGAGCATGTCCCCTAGTGAGGAGGGCTGCAAACACTGGCTGGGCTGGCCACTGTCTTCACCCTTGTCCAGCATTCTTTCTGTGGAGCAGGCACAGGTTACCCTGCTCACACACACTCTACCTCCTTGTGATGGTGGTGAGCCAGCTCTGCCCAGAGGCCCTGCCTACACTCAGTCCCTGGCCTGGGAAGTTTGCAAAGCTGAACAGCAACTGATCACCTTGGGCAGAGCTTCTAGCTGAGGCCAGGAGCCCTGCCTCTTTGCACCCCGTTAGTCAGAGAAGCTATACTGTGGCATGGCACACTACGCCCTGGGCTCTCCCTGCAGTCCTAAGGCACCTTTCTGATAAGGAGAATCTCTGCCCTGTTTCTATCTGCAATTTCAGCAAACTCACCCTGCCCTGGCCTCCGGTGTAGATGCTGGGCCCTTGCCCACCAGAGTAGCCTCAAGAGCACTAGTGAGCTTTGCTTCCTTCCCCTCACGTCCAATTCTGAGGGAGAAGGCCACTTCTGCTTCTGATATTGGGTTTCTTTGGTTCCTTCCTCAACACCCAGCTTTTTTATTTCCCTTTTCTCTTGTTCCTGATCTCACTGGCAAAATACAGAAAGAACATCCACACAGCCCAGCCAAGCACACACTTACTGCAGCTTTGCCCACTGCAACCACTCCAACATCAGCTCCTGCTATAGTCTACTGCTTTAAACAAACACCACAGTGATACACAGCCCCCATCTATACCACAATCACCAGACGATAGGAAGTGAAAGCCACAAACTTCAAACTCCAGAAACCCCCCCCCCAAGCCCAGACAAGACTTCCAAAAAGTGGTCTAAATACAGAATCAGTAAATCTTTCAAAGAGAAAGATGCTGCTGAAACTTCCTGATAAGGAACTCAGAAAAATGACTGCCAAGAGTTTTCACAGGCCTGGAAATGAGGAAAAAACTGCAACAAAACCAAAAAGACATTATCAAGGGAAACATACTTCAAACTCTAGGAGGATTAAAAAAAAAATCAACAGAAGACCAAATAGGGGGAAAAAACACCCCATCCACAATGTATAATTAGAAGTCATAGAAAAACAGGAAATTGAAATCCAGAAAATTAAGACCAAAGTTTCAGAAACTGATAACATTTGAAAGAACAAAAGAGCGGAAATACAGAATCAGTGAAACAGAGGACAAAGCCCTTAACAGTAACGTACTAGAGAAAAAATCAGAAATAAGGAAAATGAAGAAACCGTAGGAATTATGTGAGAAGCCATCAAGAGGAGTAAGTCACATGTGATTGGGGCCCCCATCCCCATGGCTGCCTGTGAATAAATGTGTGCAAAACCCAAACACAACCCCACCCCACCTTATGGAGAAAAATTGTTAAAAGATCTACTTCAAGAAAATTTTACAAGTATGATGAAAAAGATTAATGTATGCCTTCAAAAGTCTGAGCAAGCTATAAACAGGGCAAATCCCAAAAGAAAATCACCAAGACATAAAATCAAATTTTCCAAAATCAAAAGACAAAATTCAGATAGCAGCTTGGGAAAAGAAAGTTACTTACAAAGTAGAAATATAAGACTAAATCTGATTTTTCGGCAGCAGCCAGGCAGGCAGGCAAGAAAGCAATGGGATGGTACACAGCGAACGCTGAGAAATATTAACTGCCAGCTGCACAGTCCACAAAACTGACCATCAATATGATGGTGGAATCAGCACATTTTAAAAAAACCAGTAATGAAGGAAATTCGTGAAAACCAGATTAAACCTACAAGAAATACAACCTCTTTACACAGAGAATGAAAAAAGTTATTAGAAATAAACACACATAACAGCATCACTTAGACACAGAAACACATACTGAAAAAAATCAACTTAGAAAGCTAAGAATATGGAAGCAGAGACGTCAATCCGAAAAGAAGGGACTACAAAAAAGGAGTAAGTACTATTATAATATATATATTTTTTATTATATTATAATATAAGACACAGAGGATGCCGAAGTGATTTCCAGAGAAACAGAACAGCTTTAGACTCACAAAGAAAAGAGTAAAGTCCAGGCTAACCTCCAAGAAAAGTAAGTCCATATAATTAATATTAAAGAGCAAAATGACGAAGTGTTATGTTACATATTGCTGAGCTGGCATCGACCCACAGCTGCCCCTCCAGCAGGTTTTCAGAGGCAGTAAAACACACTGGAGGAGACTGCCCATCTGTCTCCTGCGGAGCAGCTGGTGGACTGGAACCGTGTGCCTTTGTGTTGCCAGTGTAACTCCTTACCACTAAGCCACCAGAGCTCCCAAATGATCTACCTTACAGAGGAAAAGTACAAAGTGCTAGGAAACCTTAAATCAAGAGCAAAGAGGGAAATCATGAGCTGAGCCATTAATACAATGAGCTAAGCACCAAACGGGATTAACAAAGAAACCAGCACCACCACAAGAGTAAAGCAAAAACGACAACAAAAACCTATGTTGTTGGTACGTGCCATGAAGTCAACTATGACTCACAGTAACCCTCAGCAGATCTGAACCCTGCCTTAGCCTGTGCTCTCCTTGCCACCTCGGACATATCTGACCCCACTGTTACAGTCACTCTCATCTTGTTAAGGGTCTTCCTCTCTTATACTGGTATAGGTAACGTACTGACAGAAGCATGACGTCCTTCTTCACGGACTGCTTCCTTCCTTCTAACAATGTGCCCAAAGCACGTGAGATGGAGTTTTGCCACCCTCGTTTCCAATGAGCATTTTGCTTTCACTTTCTCCAGGACAGTCCTGTTTGACCTTGTAGCAGTCCATGGGATACTCGGTACTCTTCTCCAACACGGCAGTTCAAAAGCATTGATTCTTCTGTCATCTTTAGTCACTGTCTAAGTTCACATTTAGCCACTGTAAAAATTTTAGGGGCACTGTCAGCAACTGAGAGGACCACGGCTTGGATCAGGCACACTGAAGTTTTCAAACTGACATTACGGCTTTCACTCTGCAGAAGTCCTTGACAGCACATTTTCCACATGCAACTCATGCTTTGACTTCTTGAGTGCTGGTAAAAAGTGTGTTGATTGTAGAACCAGGCAAGATGAAATTGTTGACAATGTCAATCTTTTCTCCATCTATCATGATGCTGCCTATCGGCTTGGTGGTGGTGACTTTTGTTTTCTCGATGTTAAAATGTAATCCACATTGAAGGGTATAGTCTTTGGTTTTCTGTAGCAAGCACTTCAAGTCCTCCTCTCTCTTCCAGAAGCAAGGTTGTGTCATTTGCATATGGCAGGTAGCCAATGAGTCTCTGTCCAATCTTGATCCCACATTCTTCTTTAGAGAGCCCAGCTTCTTAAACGATTTGTGCAGCATACACATTGAGTAAGTACAGAGAAAGGTAACCCTAACCCTGTAACACTCTAGGGACAAGTGGGTCATGCCTCCACACGCAAAGATAACAACTACAATGTCTGGAGGCAACATATAATCACAGGTCAGTCAAAAACAATAGATGGCACAAAAAATAATCAAAATATACAGTGAGGAGGGAGCTTTGGTGACCCAGTGGCTATAAACTGCACTGCAATCCTGAAGGCATGTAGTTCGAATCCATCAGCTGCTCCGCTGGAGAAGAAGGGCCAATCTCCTCCTGAGCCAGTCAGATCCAACTCGACGGTACACAGATAAAAAAAAAAAAATCTAAGGTGAGGAAGACAGGCTTCTGGAAGTTCCTGAGGAGGAATATTTTTTCTCCTGACAAGGAGAATGTTCATCAGGTCTATTCTATGATTGAGAAACCACAGAAACAATGCAAGAGTTCATGAAAACGATGCAAGATCAAATCGATAAACTAATTTTAAACAACATGATATTGAAGAAAAGACTGACACTGTCAGGGATTTCATTTTACGTGGATCCACAATCAACATCTATGGAAGCATCAGTCAAGAAGTAAGACGATGGACTGCATTTGGCAAAGTGGCTTCAAGTTTAAAAGGGCTGTTTAAAGGGACACCCCTGAGCTCTTCCACACTTGGTCAGGAATGCCTGACCCAAGCTGTTGTGCTTTCACGTTCTTTAAATACATGTCAAAGTTGGATGACGTAGTATTAGTGAAGAGTACCGAACAGACTGCCTGAGCAACAAAAAAACCATCCACCTTGGAAGAAGTAGTCACGGTGCTCCTTCCTTCACAGCTTCTGGGATGGTGTCAGCTCACAGTGACCCTCCAACCTGTTTCCGAGGCCGTAAGTTTCAATGGGAGGAGATGATGCACCTAATTCCAGCTGCTGGAGTCAGGAGTGCAACTTCCTACAAATGAGGCCACGGAGCCTCCCATAAGGATGATGTGAAACCCCATTTCAGACAGTATGGCATTGTATCAGAAGTGGCCAGTCCTGGAGGAGACCAGCATTCCTGGACAAGTGGAGGGAGGCTCTCGAGGAGATGGGTTACCACAGTGACTGTAGTAACGGGAATAAGCACAGCTCAGATTGTAAAGATGGCCCAGGATCAGGTAAGGCTCGGTCTGTGGTGTATCTGGATCGATGCAAGCTGGAAGACAACTTCATGGCACCTAACAATGACAACAGCAAGTGCAACAACAATACGTCTATTCAGGCGCATCAGAAAGGCTAGGCAGCAGCTTGTGCTACGTGCAGGGCAGCACATCCTTTAAGAATAATGACAGCCGGCTTTATCAGTCTTCAGGCTGCTGCTTTAATATGTTAATCCCGGTTACTGCTCTTTGTTTAACAGCATAAAGTTCATCCACGGCTTCTCTAGGTGAACCTACCGCCCACAACAGGATCCACAGGATGGAGAAGCCCCAGGGTGGTGGTTCCGTCTGGTTTTCTTCTTTCAAATTCACACTGCAACAACACAAGGATTTGAACGGACTCAGTTGTTTTGCATGCACCGTATGCATCTGGAGCACACAAGAAAGTTCTACTTTAGTTAAATTAATCATCACCAAATTCAAACGTTAACTTTTACATCTATCTTAGGCTCATGGCAGGCAAAACAAAGACAGTTTTAAAAACATGTCACAACTTTGAGCTCCACGAATCCTTATGGCCATTTAGCTCTGGCTATTCTTAACAAAGGAAATGGAGTGACTTGCCCAGGTCAGCTATCAAGCCACCTGGTTTTAAAACAATGTGCTGTATAAAAAAAAAAAAACCAACGTATTTATCCGAGTGTATTTTCCCCAATTTAGAATAAGTTTCACTAAAAAGTCAAATAACAGAAGATTAATTAGACACTTTACAAGCATAGACATCTTTCTTTATACTGTAAATGGTAGATATGGACTTTAAAATAAATGGATTTGCACAAGGAAACAAAAGCCTAAGCGTTCCATGTTACCTGAGTAAGAGCTGGCAATGAGGAAAGAAAAGTCAAGAGAAGGGTGACTCACGTGACTGTTAACCAGCCGCCTGGTCAGCTTTCCTCCAGATTCCTTAACAACGCGGTCAATTTGCTCCTGCTCTTTTTCTAAGTGATTATTTTTAAATTTATCTTCAATCATTTCTTTATCTTTCCTAAAAGCACACACGAATACCAAGTAGTGGGGGGAGGGAAGAAAAGATTATTAAAATGTTCAAATGAATCCAAATATGAATACAGCGAAAGGCAGAAACACTGTCACCAGGGTCTGATGAAGAGGCTTCTTATAATATAGCATACAAACTGAAATATCTTATGCCCCACCTTAGCCCATTCCCTTACTGCTCGGGCCAGTTTCATTTGCCTTACTGTTTTTTCCTGGGTGCATTCATAACAATGAATTCTATCTCTAACACATTTTGAAGAAAGAGGTGGCGTACTTTTTTTAAAAAAAAAAACCCAAAATTTATAAATCTTAGGAACAGAAGAAACAAATATTTATACTGGTTTTGCTACTCTACAAAAATAAACTATGATAGAGTATCTCCTTTTCCAAGAAAACCTCACATTTCCCCCCTAAAAATACTTAACAAGTAAGAGCCCTTTCACGTGTCTTTACTATGCTCTTCAATTACACCCTCAAAACTTCTCTATTTTTGGGACAGCATTCTTCACAAAAGCACTAGCCACCATCTTTCCTACTCCGACAAGTGACAGGAAGTGTGCTCCTACCCAGGCCCTTCTAAACACTCTTTCCTGGGGAGATGGCAAGGACCCCTTGAGCCCTATTAATACTCCAGTTGGTAACACTACTAGAAAACATCTAACAGAAAACATGCACACATCGCTGGGGCAGTCATTTAGAAAAGAACCTGAATGAGGCTTATGCTTATTACCTCAACTCTTTTTATAGATGAGGTAAAGAACTTAACATTTTTACTTATGTATGTCTATAGTTAATAAACTCACTGGCAATGAGTCCCTAATGAGGGTTTAAGGGTCTTGAAATTAGTAAGAGAACATACCCAGACCTGTTTTCTCTACTGTAGGAGTAACTGCTTATAGTGCTTTGTCTGAGAAGAGGTGTGGCACCTACCAGTGTGCACATTCACAATCCTCATCGCCATGCCAAGACCCAGCTAGAGACTAGGATGTGGTCCTCACCAGTCAAGTCCAAATCACCAGAGGATTTTTTCCCCATTTACTAGTTTGTAAAAGCTAGGATAATATGAATATGTCAAAGACTTTTACCTTTTATTTTCCTTGTTGGGGCTTTTGATGGCCTGAGCCTCGGCAGCTCCGAAGTCATCCTTCTCCCTTGGCCACGAACCACTGTCTTCTCCGTTCTGCGAGAAGTCTGTCTGATCTTTTAGTTTTCGAGTCTTCTGCAAATCTGCCATGAATTCTATACTCTGCTTTAGGCTCTGGATTCTTTCCTATGAATATTCAACAGTGTATTTATTTTTAAGTGTGTCATTAACTAGGAAAGAAAACAATTACATTTAATCACTTCAAGAGGGTACTTAGAAACCAAGACAATAAAGTCCATTTCATTAAATCAGATAATTTTAAATTTAAGAGGCTACTTTATCACATTATCAAAAAGGGCATAAGAAAGTATGAAGTAAGACTGTATTCTTTGAAGTACTAAATTAGAAAGTAAAATTTAGTTTAACAATGTTAAGATTTTGTATTTAACAAACATTACTGGGTATATTTAAACACAAAGCACATGGAAATGTGGGTACTTAATATTCTAATCTTCTGAAGATGGCTATTTTTCTTTTTGTTCAAAAATAACATTTTGAGGAAAACAAGGACTAACATAGTTCCTTTCTCAGAATGCATAATGTTCTAACTTTGTTTCTATTTTGTGAACCATGTGCTTTATTTTCCACTGTTAAGCTGTGAAATTTTCATCAAGGGTAAGGCCTTAAATATCTTAACCAATTCAGAGAGGTCTATTTGCTCCTGCTCACTGTCTTTTAACTCTGAGAGTTGTCACTGATTACAGAACACAGGGGACTATACAGCAACAGCACAGAAACAAGGTTTGCAGAATAAAAGAAATTAAGAACTGGCAATGATCACAGGTCATTCAAATTAAGAACAATGCAGCTCAGAAATGCTGTATGACTCACCACCTAAGGTAAGAACCAGCGGCTAAGACTAAGCCTCTGTGTCTCAAAATCTCTTCTCATCACATTAAGCTACATTAATAGCACAGCTCTTAGATGGTGAGCCTTAAGAAAGGTTGGACCTACTAGTCTGAAGTCATGTTAAAACTGTTAGAAGATCCTGGATGAGATGGATTGATACAGTTATTGGGGTACTGGGGGGGGGGTAGGTGTGTTGGAGTCAGTGAGACTGGCTCAGGATAGAGCAGGGTTCAGAGCTACTGTACACAGTGGTTATTACGACTCGCAGGCGACCTGACGGCACCTAACAACTAGTACATAGTTACCGTTCAGTGCCGTTGGGTATTTTTCTCAACAGTTAATTTGTTGTTGTTGTTGTTGTTGGGTGCCATCCAGTTGGACTCCTAGTGAACAACACAGCGAACAACAGATCTCAACGCTGCCCCACCGTGTGCCAGCCTCGCCATCTATGAGATGCTGAGCCCACTGCTGGTCACTCCACCCTCTGCGGGTCTTTCTCTCTTTAACAAGTCCTCCACCTTTCCACGTCTGATATCCTATTCTAAGGACTGGCCCCTTCTAACACCATGCTTAAGGCAGTGATACAAAGCGTCACCAAGCCTGCCTCTACAGAGTACCCCGACTACATACTTCTTTGTTCTTCCGGCAGTCCATGGAATGATTCAGTACTCGTCTTCATCTCAAAGACAGCACTTCTTCTTCTGTCATCCTTCTTCCCTGTCTAACTTTCAGTCACAAGCAAGTAACTGAAAAGACCATGGCTTGAGTAGGTGCACCTTTATCTTTAAACTGACATCATTGCTCCCAAGTCCTTTGGAGAGGTCCTTCACAGTATAATTTCCCATTGCAACACGTATTTTTGATTTTTTTAATTACTGGCACCATGGGTGTTGACTGTGAATCCAAGTAGGAGGAAACTATTGACAGCATCAATCTTTGCCCCATTTATGATGAGGTTGTTTACTGGCTCAGTAATGGGGATTTTTGTTTTCTTAGTGTTGAGATGTAATCCAAATTAAAGGTTGTAATCTTAGGTCTTCTGCAGCAAATGCTTCAAGTCTTCTTCACTTTCAGCAAGCAAGGTTGGGTCACTGGCACAAGCTTACCCTCACACTCGGTCTAACTTATTATGAGGAAATAAGTATTATTTCCTTATTTTATGGGGCAGGAAAGACTAAGTTACAGAGTCCACTTAAAAGTTTCCAGAACTAGGATGAAGCCTACCTAGTCTTTTTCTGAGGCCACCATGCTATGTTAAAGCTTTGTCAAATGCACATTCTGCTCATGTGCATATTTATGAAATCGAGTGTCAAGCTACATGTCTACTTTTATAATCGTTCTAATAGCCACTATGTGGGAACTAAAAGAAAAAAAGAATGATTGCTCTAAAACATTGCACTGATCAATAAAAAAAAAACCCACCAAAAAAACAAACAAAAACTGGTCTGATTTAAAAGACACCAGGGGTCTAAATGTCAACACTTTAGAATCACTAGTATCAGAACCCCTCCTAGCCAGGGGGAGAAAATAGTCAACAGGCAGCTTTAACACAAGATGGGCAGGGCTTCTTAATAGGAAGTGCTCTTAAAAAGAAAGCAACAGAGACAACATGAGAAATACGGAAGGAAGTTTCTCTTCTGGGTCACTTCAGTAAATATCAAGAGACTAGAAACTTCTGCACTTTACATTAACTGTATTACTTAAACAAGATAAAACACTGGTAAATCAAAGTTCATGAATTTTCTTTGGCTGTTTTTCCCCCCCCCGTATAAATTAAACCCTTTTCCCAAAATACAATGTACGTATTTTGAATTGACAAAAGTCTGCATTTTGCTGGGTAAATTTTCTAGCAACAACAAACATTTGGAGGTTTTAAAACCTGACATGTCACTCGGCTCTCGATTCTGAGTGTCTTCCTGCGAAGAGTGGGATAAACATCTTCTATTTGCTTTTCCTCTAAAACAATGTGCCAACCGTGAGCGCTGCTGTTAGGAGTCATTAAGCTGACTACCATTCCTGCAAGCTTATGAAAAAGCAGACCAAGCCATGTATCCTGCACCGTCACCACCATCATCCCTGGCATGCAGTCACTGCCAGCCTGTCTCCTTGGGTATTTTTTCCTCTGACCCTCTTCTCTTTCCCAGCATGATGTCTGTCCCTCCTGACAACATGCCTGCAGTACAGGAGAGGAATTTCTGCCATCCTTGCTTCCAAGGAACAGCCTGGGTGCATTTCCTCTAAGACAGATTTCTTTGCTATTTTGGCAGTCCATGATAAAATTGCAATGCAACAAATGTTCTGGTTTCTTGACTGCTTATACTGTCAGTGTTGACTGTGAATCCAAGCAAAATGAAATCACTGACTACTTCTGTCTTCCTCTATCTATTTTGTAATTGTCTATGGGTCTGATAGTATGGCATTTTGTTTTCTTGATGCTGAGACATAATCCATATTGAAGGATGTAGTCTTTGACTTTCTGTAGTAAGTGCTTCAAGTCTTTCTCACTTTTTGCAAGCAAAGTTTTGTCATCTGTGTAACACAGGTTGTTGATAAATCCTCCTCTAATCCTGAGGCCTCATTCTTCTTCATATAGTCCAAATGAAATAAAACAAAACCATTGACAACATTAACTTTTCCTCCATCTATCATGCTGTTGCAACACTCCATCTACGGGCCAAGCAGAAAGAACTTTTGTTTCTTGATGTTAAGATGTAATCTACATTGAAGGCTGTAAACTCTGATCTTCTGCAGCAAATGCTTCAAGACCTCTTTCTGCAAGCAGTTGTGTCAACTGCACAATGCAACTTGTTGAAGAGTCTTTCTCTAATCCTGATGCCACATTCTGCTTCATATAAGCCAGTCTCTTGATTTACTCAGCATACAGATCAAATAGGTATGGAGAAAGGAAACAACTTCAGCACGTACCTTTCTTGACTTTAAACCTTGCAGTGTTCTCTTGCTCTGTTCTGACAACTGCTTTTTGGTCTATGTATAGGTTCCTCATAAACATGATTAAGTGTTCTGGGATTCTCAATCTTCTCAATGTTAGCCACAATTTGTTGTAATCCAAACAGTCAAATGCCTTGGTATACATAAAACAAAAGTAAATACCTTTCTGGTATCCTCTGTTTCCAATCAAGATCGATGTGACATCAGCAATGATATACCCCAGGCCCCGGGTTCTTCTAAATCTAGCTTGAATTTCTGGCAATAACTCTGCCGATGTACTGTTCCAGCCACTTTAAACATACTCTTTCGTAAGATACTACTTGCATGTGATATTAATGGTATTGTTCCTTAACTTCCACATTCTGTTAGATCACCCCCTTTTTTAAAAATAGAAACAAAACACTGGGCTCCTTCATTCAGTTGGCCAGGAAGCTGCCTTCCAAATTTATTGGCATTAACTGGTGAGCTGGTCCAGGGCTGCATGTTTGTTGAAACATGTCAAATGGTATTCCATTAATTCCTAGAGCCTTATTATTTTTTTAAAAAGTTCCACTTTTTTTTTTATAAGGGCCTTATGTTTTGCCAATGTTTTCAGTGCAGCCTGAACTTCTTTTTTCATTACCACTGGTACTTAATCATATGCTACTTCCTGAAATGATTCCATGTTAGTCAATTCTTTCTGCCAAAGTCAAATTTCATTCTAATTCTATGCTTTGTCTTCTCAACCTGCCTTTGGAAATCTTCTGTTTAGCTGTCTTAGTTCAGCTTTCTTTCTCCTTGTCTTGGCTTCTTACTGTTTCAGTGCTTATTTTAGTGTTTTCTGACATACATCCTGAAAGATGGAGTAAAGCTTTCACCAATGCAAGACTTTAGTTTGCTGATATGGCAAGACTCAAAATAAGAAGAAATAGATATAAAAAATATATTTTACAACTGGAACGTACAAAGTATGAATCTCAGAAAACTGGAAGTTGTTTAAAATAACACCCAAAAAACTCAAATAGAATGCATGAAGATCAATATTCTAGGCATTCGTGAGCTGAGATGGCCATTGTGAATCAGAAAATCTTATGATCTACTCTGCAGGGATGATAAACAGAGGAATACTGTATCACATTCATCATCAACAGAACATTTTAAGACCTACCCTGAGATACAATGCTGTGAGTGAAAGGAGTACATAAGTTTCCCAAATTTTGAAGAAAGGGTAGAAACTAATGGTGTTTAAGTTTTAGGAGTTCAAAACTTGTCATCAATCCAAACATTTTTGTTTTTCCAACTAAGCAGATCTACTAATCTTATTGATTCAAGCACACATTTCCACACAGCTACACAAGATGGCATTTCTTTTTTTTTTTATGAAATGTATTGTTTATTTTCCATCAACATTATTTCTACTTTTCAAAAGACAGTTTAAGACCATTGCGTGGTGGTGCCCACCTCTCAGTGACCTGAGCAGTGGGGGCTGAAGACCAGTCTTCAGTCGTAGGCTGAGTGCTCCAGTCTTCAGTAGGGAACTGCTGAATCGGCACATAGGGCACCTGGACACCTTCGGACCAGTCTGTAACTTCAGGCTGAGCAGCAGTGAATTCAGGAGCAGGGGCTGTCCATTCTCCCTGAAACTCCTCCTTGGTCACAGCCTTTTCAGCAGCAGCCTGTTCTTCCTTTTCAATCTCTTCCAGATCTCTGTAGAAGTACAGATCGGGCATGACTTCCCACGGGTGCTTCTGGGAGATTGTGCCACGCATGAGCAGGACTTCCCAGGCCAGCACCCACCACATCAGACCCACGGAGTGAGCCTCCTTGTTGCATGGGATAGCAATGTCTACGTAGCGCAGAGGAGAATCTGTGTTACACAGGGCAATGGTGGGCAAGTTAACATAAGATGCTTCTGTCAGAGGCTGGTGGTCAGCCCTGGGATCAGTAACCACCAGAAGACGAGGCTCCCGGAAAGTTGCCTGGACCTGGCTAATGAAGGTTCCAGGTGTGAAGTTCCTGGCAATAGGAATGGCCCTGGTAGGAGCAGCAAACTTCAAAAGAGCTTTCTGGCCTGTATTTCTGGAGGAAATGACACTGACATCAGCTGGATTTTCAATGGCAAAAACAGCACGCGCAGCCAAGAGCAGCTCCTCCCAGGTCCTCTTCAGGTTTCTGATGTAGATGACTTTTCCCTTTTGGAGATGTACTGTTCCATTTGGAAGTCAAGGTTGGGGCCGCCCAAATGCGTTCCTGCTGCAAGGAATTTAAGGACATCCTCCTCCTTCATCTGCGGGACATCAAGGGCTCCGGACATTGTGGAAGTTTCCCTTTTAAGTTATGACAGAAACCAGAACAACGCTGTATGGACCCTTGCGTGGGTAGCGCGGAAAGCAAGATGGCATTTCTTTAAATGTTGTTGTTGACTGATACAGTGGCATTTCTTTAAATGTTGTTGTTGACTGTTGTTGAGGCAAGCACAACTCATAGCAACTCTATGAACAAAATATCTAATGTCTTTTCATAACTGTCATTATTTCACCAAGTTCATAGAGTTTCTAGAGGCCTGTAGTTTAGGAAGTGGGTGCCATTCCTGCATAAAAACCTGGTTTAAAATTGGGAGCTCCACCAAACACTGTCCACATTGGGAAGCCCTTCTGGTATTTGATACCCAATGGCACAAAGTTCAGCATCACAGCAACCCAGGTTGCTTCATTCATACTGCACACTGAAAAGAGTGATGCACAAAGTGGAAGAGTGTTCCTCCAGATATAACGGCACTAGTTTCACTTAGCAGTGGTTAAGTATTGTCAAGTCGACTACAACTGGGAGTGATGATCACTATTAAAAAAAAAAACTGCCAAAGGAAAAAAGATATGCAACTAAACAGAATTCATTTTTTCTATAACTTTTCTTAGTCTGAGATCAAACTCTTCTCATTCCTTTCTCCATCACCCTGTATCTAACACCCATTAATCTAGTCCTTTTTATTTTTTAAAAAGAAGAAAACAGAGACTTGGAGTGAGTAATGTCTTGCCTAAGGCACACAAGTTAGTGATAAGGTGTTAAACTAGAATTTTGATTGTTTACTGCTATATGAGGTATTGTTCTGAGTTAACTAACAATGTTTAAGCTTTCATGCCGCTTGATGAAGCTGTGTGTGTGAGACTCTGTTCATATTTGTTCGACCCCAACTGCTTCATCATGCACCAAATTTTATCTCTGAAAGACGACTGTGCTCTTAGGAGCAGGAGGCTTTGAGAAAATCTGAAATTATTCCTCACTTGGGTGTTTTCTAACTCCTCCTAACAGAAGAAATTCCAGTGCTTCACTAAGAAGCACAATACTGTCCAGAATATGAAAATCCAACCCTATAAAGAGAAATCGAGTTCCTTCAGCCTAACAAGTCTTATAATTAATCCAACCTTACCATGAATACAGATTGATATTCCTTCCCTAGACTTTTGCTGCCCACAGTAAAAATAAGTACCTGGTGAACAACAATTCAAAAGCTTGTAAAGAGATAATTACAAGTGAATGAATAACTCATTATATCAATGTCAAATTATACTTCAACCTTAATCATCACCTATTTAAAATTTTCATTAGTGTTTTCTATGATTTTGTTAATAAAATAAATAGTGTAATGAACCTACAGTCTTATGACTAAAAAACATAACGATATGGATTATCATTTAAGACAAAAAGTTTTCTTTACCTGGCTAAGAATTTTCATCCCTGAGTGTAATAACTTCTTTGCAGCTTTATAATAAATGGTTTCTGGCTTGTTGTAAATCATGGCATTAGTACACATTAGTTTAAAATTATCCTGTAGAGAAAATATTAAAATATTAAGGAGAAAAAGACATTAAAACAAAAGAGTAGCTCCTCCTGCAAGTTTTGAAACATACAGATCCTCAAAAACTTAAAAAATTTCTTATTTTACTTTTCATCTAAGCAACACTGACAATACAACAAAAACTCAAACAAATATTGTGAAGTTTAAATATACTATGACATTCTTTTCTAATAGTTAAACATTTTATAATAACTGCATATAAATTTTAGAGTTCAGAATGAAGCTGCGTTCTCGAATATGTCCTTTCTGTATACACAAAGAATTATTCTGCTTTATATTCACGTAGAATATAAACTATTCTTAGTTTAGAACAAGTATTTAAAATTTCTATTTTGGAATTAAATGTTTTATTTCAAATCTTTATTGAAAACTGACAACAACATTATCATTGTCTTTCTTGACAAATTAAAATTAACAGAACAAATATATGTAAATGTTTAGTCATTTTTACATGTTTAAATACCATAAGCTAAATATAATTGGCAGAAAACTTGCAAAATCAAGCTTATGTGAAACAAATCATGCAAAAGTCACAGAGTTAAATTACGTAAGACTAACCAAGTTATAAAAACTGTATTTCTGGTTTACATTTCAAAGTATGTAAGGAGACTAATTCAAAGACCATAATTAATTTGTCAGTAAATTCACTATGCATGAAGTAAATCTGATCCTCAGTTCTCAGCCAAGTCTCTAATCAGTAATGCTTAGGTTCTGGACTTTGAAGACTTAGATGAAAGTTTTGACTCTAACTCCTCAAATATAAGGGAGCTCTGGTGGCTTCGTGGTAAGAAGTTGCACTATCAACGCAAAGGCACACAGTCTGAAACCACCAGCTGCTCTGTGGAAGGAGGGCACTATCCTTCAGTGACAGGTACTGCCTCTGAAAACCCTCTCGAGGGTCAGCTATGGGTTAGTTCAGACTCATTTTCATATTATTTTAACAAGTTCACAGTCTGCTTAAAAACTCTTATATCTGGGGGGTGGTGGGGTGGGGGAGCAGGACATAAGAGTCAAATGAAGGGAAATGAAAAGTAAACCAAGCTAGTATGACCACAGATTTGATCTGTTAAGGCAATTTAAATCTTACTTAATTAATAAGGTTGGTGGTTCAAATCCACCAGCTAATCCATGAAAGAAAGACTGGCAATCTTTCCCAAATATTATGAAAAAGGATAAAAATAATAATTCAGGAAGCTGAAGGAACCCCAAACAGATTAGACTCCAAAAGAGAAAAAAAAAAACCCCGAAACAAAAACCACGCAAGCCATCACAATTATATTTTTCAAAATGAAAGATAACAGAATACTGAATAAAGCTAGGGTGGGGATGGGGGGGCTGTGGTGGAAAGGAAGAGCAACCTGTAAAGAAAACACCTGTAAGACTACACTGATTTCTCTGTGGAAAATATGCAAGAGAAAAAAATGCCAATCACGAACTACATCCCTACCAAAATGGTTTCTCAAATATGATGCTGAAATCAAGGCATTTCCAGATAAATGGAAACTAAGGGAATCTGTGAAATGTACAATAATCTTGCAAGAAATACTAAGCAGAGTTCTAAGGAATGAGACCCAGTAATGACCAACCTGAAAACAACATGCAACATGATTCAGAAACTGACCCCCACACAGCAATACATAAAGTCTAATCAGATAAAACTAAAAGCAGAATACCAGAAATAACAGTCCATGTATGACAAAAACCACACTGCAAAAACTTGCAAATGCACACAAGTCAAAGCTATTTCATCTGGGAAGAAAACAGTAACTTAAAACTGCAGCCATGAAGGGAATGTCATAAACAAAATGAACTCAGTCTCACTGGAACAAAGAAACTGACATCACAAAGAGGAACGCAGCAGAATGACAGCAATAAAGCCATACCTAATGGCAATGACAACAAACATGAATGGATTACACACACCAGTCAAGACAAAGAGTTAGCAGAATAGATAGGAAAACATGAGTCAACAACATGCTACAAGGCACAGACCTTGAACACACTGACAGATACAGTAAAAATCAAAGGGTGGAGAAAATATATGCATAATGCAAATGGTAATCAACCTGGAGTGGTAAAGTTAATAGCTGATAAAACAGCTTTCAAGGGAAAAAACCTACATGAGAGACAAGGACAGGTACTACACTATGATCAAAGAGTCAAGTGAACAACAGGATGTAAGTACAATTAATATCTATTCACCCAAAGGTAGAGCTGTAAAGTTACATAAATTAAACTAACAGATATGATGAGAGAACAAACCCCAACAATAAGAGATTTTATTACACCAATTTCCATGAGAAACAGAACTAGAAAGTAACTCCACAAATACAGAAGTCCTAAGTAACACAACTGACCAAGCAGATCCTATACAGAAAACTCCACTGATTAAGAGCACATTCTTCTCCAGTCAGTGCACATGGAATGCTTTCCAGACCAGACCATATGCGGTTACAAATGATCCCTCATGCACAAATATGCAAAAATTCTCAACAAATCTGTCAACAGAATCTAATAGCAGATTAAAAAAAAAAAAGTCATATATCATGATCAAGTGGGATTCACACCAGGTATGCAAGGATGGTTCAACATTAAGAACCCACTACAGCAGTAAAACAAAGGAAAAGAACCACAGGAATGCTATCTATCATGCATAAATGACAGGCGACATTATTCAGTCCCCTTGTGGTCTGCAGGGAGGTGGCTGTTATCTCAAAGGTCATGTCTGTCTGTCCCTTTGCTCTGCAGGAGGAAGATGGATGTGGTTATGCTTACAGGAATTGTCTCTGTGCAGTTGATGTTAATGGAGATACACCCCTCTCCTGAAGTTAACAGGAGCCAGACACTGCCAACTCAATGTCAGACACTGGTTTTATATTCTTCTTGAGTAAATAAAATTGCAAGAGTTTTAATAAGAGCTCATTTTCCCCCCCAGTCAAAACAAATACTTATAATTACCTTAAGTTCTTCTATAGACTGGTAGTCATTGTTCTTAATCTTTTCTTTCATGGTACTAAAATCCATTGGGTGTTTAATGATCATGGAGTAGCCAGGAGCAATAAAATCAGTCACAGGAAATGAAAAGAAAGCACTTGGGTCTTTTCTGTGAAGACATGGAAAAAGCAATTTACATTTTATTTCTACCACAAACAAATGTACTGGTTTATGAGAAGTAACAGAAAAAACTTCTTTAGATGTAGAAAGATCTGTAGCATGCTAACATTTTCCACTGAAAATGAGACCAAAGCTATGTGAATGTAGGAATGTGTGAAATACAATATATATAAATGATACACAATGTACACAAATTTTATATGTAAATCAATATAAAATAAAGTGGGGGGGAAATATCTTTAAAAAAAAAACCAACTGGAGAAAAGATTTTTAAAGAGAAGTATTTTGTAACACGGTTTTGATGTTTTACACATTACATGTAGCCATGAGAGAGAGGTTCTCTTTTTAAGTGTATACCCTAATTTAATTATAATGCCTTCAACAAATAGAAAATGAAGCAAGGTTAGCCCTGACTAACAACCAGCATGTGTACTCTGTTTTGTTTCTAAGTATTACAGAAAAGGCAGTAATGATAGCTATTAACGCCTAGCTATAATTTTCCATAATGATTTCTAACAGGATTAGATTCCTGGTGGGTCACAGATTCATTGCGTCCAGGTGTAAATTTATTTTCTCAATAAATGGAATCAACTTCTATTGCACGCGTGCACACAACCAACACTCACTGAAAACAGACTGCATTAAGTAACTCTGGTGCTGAGTACTTCTTTAAAGTGCTGAAGAAGAAGGATATAATTTTAAGAACTAAGGCGCGCATGTCCCATGCTAAGGTATCTCGGATTTCTTCATACACATGTGAAAACCAGACTGAAGGATGCTGCTGTTTTGAATTGTGGTCCTGGCAAAGAGTAAACAATGCATCAAGGACTGCCAAAAGAACAAAGAGACCTGTCTCTGAAGTAGTCCAGGCAAGAGCCTCTCCAGTGGTCAACTTTGTCTCATATGTTTTAAGCAAGTGATCAATCAAGAGGCATCCATAAGGTCTGGAGCATGGTGAAGATTAGGAAAATGGAACAGTATCAGGCAAAGCCTCAATCTGTTAAGACAGGGTTTTGACAAGGTGGAGTTAACTCAAAGGCAGCTAACTACTCTGCTTGCCTGTTAAAATTATTAGAAAAACTTAAAAGGAAACAAGAAAAGCCAATGTATGTGCTCTGGGAGGCTCACCTCAAACCTATTAAGTCAAAAGGTCCTGTAAAAACATTTACCCGTATGTTTTCCTCTAAAGAGTTTTAAAGATGTGAGATGGGGATTCAGATGTGGATCCAGCTGTTTCAGCACCATTTATCAAAAGTACCAAAATAAATTCTTTCTTCATTAAATGAACTTGGCACTCAGGTAAAAAAAAAATCAAGTAACTACTGCTGTATGGATTTAATTTTGGATTCTCAGTTTCATTACATTGGTCTGTATCTCCATCTTTATACTAGTACCACACTGTGCTGATTATTTTAGCTCTGTACTGGGTTTTGATTAGAAGCAGGAGTGGCATCCACTTTCGAACTAGCCTGACTCCGGAAACTCTATGAACAGTGCTCAGGTCTTTTGTTCACAGGGTTGCTATGAGTCGTCTATGACTCGACGCCACTTAACAACACCAATAATAAGGAGATTTTGAAGGCGGGGAACGTGAAAAATCCCACTATATTCTTTTTCAAGAGTCTTTTGGCTATATGCATTCTTTATGTAATAAGAGTAATATGTAAGTTCTTAATCATTTAAGGATCTACTTTTCCGCTTCCTTAGAAAGCCGCCACTGGAATTCTGATACCGTATTTAACGTTGCCACAAACGATGGCTATAGCTGTCCCACATGTGTTTCTAAGCACAGTTGTCAATTTAAAAGTGTGTGGCAATGTGTTATTCTGCAGATAGCAGTGTTAGCATTTTTTAAGAAAGATTTTTATTGACGGAAAGTTCATAAACCACACTGGATTTTTAGTCTACCATTCATACACATTTTCATTAAATGACAATGTTGTGGGAGGTACCATGGTGTCAACAAGGACTCACAGCACTCTATGACCACACGTCGTTGGAGCCTTGCTCTCTCCTCTGCCATCCTCACCCCCTCTGATGTACTCACGTCTATTCAAGTGACTGCGTCAGTCCATCTTGGTGAGGGTCATCCTCTTTTTCACTGACATTTCTAACACGGTGTCTCACTCCAAGGACTGGTTCCTCCTCATAATATGCCCCAAATAAGTGAGATCAAGTCTCCTCATCCTTGCCTGGAAGGAGCATTCAGGTTGTACTTCCTTCAAGACAGATCTGTTTACAGGGAGTTCTACTGTCCTAGCGTCAAGAAACTGCATTGCTATCCCGAGTCGTGTGGTTCGAATCCACCAGATGCTCCACTGGAGAAGGAGGGACAATCTCCTCCTACATCAGTTAGATCTGATTTGACGGTACACAACAAGAAAGAAAGAAGAAAAATAAAACCCCAAACCTAGACAGATGTGTTTGTTCTTTTGGCAGTCTATAGTATAATCAAAACTCTTCTCCAGCATCACAATTCAAAGGCACTGATTCTTCTTCTGTCATCCGTGACTTGGATCAGGCACACATTAGTTTTTAAACTGACATCACTGTTCTTTAGTACTTTAAAAAAAGTCTTCGACAGCATTTCCCCAATGCAGCATGTCTTCTGATATTTGAATTGCCATTACCATTAGTGTTGATTGTGGATCTAAGTAAAATGGTATCACTGACAACGTCAATCTTTTCTCCATCTATCATGATATTGCCTATTGGTCCAGTGGTGAGGTTTTTTCTTTTCCTGATGTTGAGACATAATCAATATTGAAGGCCTTGGTCTTTGATTTTCAGCAAGTGCTTTATATGCTCTTAAGTTTTTTGGAAGCAAGCTTGTGTCATCTGCATAATGCAGGGTATGTACAGTTAAGTGTTCTGGAATTCCCATTCTCCTCAAGTTATTTGCAATTTCTTATGATCTGCAGTCAAATGTCTTTGCATAATTAATGGAATGTCAGTTAAAAAGTCTTTTTTTGTACTCTGTCTTTAGCCAATATCCACTTGACATCAGCAATGACGCACCTTGTGCTCTGGTCTCTTCTGAAATTGGCTTTAATTTCTGAAAAGTTTCCTGCTGATGTCATGTTCTGCTTTTATTACTCTTCAATAAGATTTTCCTTAAATGTGATATTAATGATATTGTTCAAGAATTCCCTGGTCTGTTGGAGCACAGTGGCTTTCCACATCAGAGGAGCCCACCCAACTTCCTCCCACAAAGGAAGTATTTGAACTGCTGACATTTTAGTTATCGACACAACACTGAAATCTGCTATACCACCAGAGATCTTTTTAGAACCACAAGTCTTTTGCAAATATACTGCAAATGTCTTTGAACTGGAAATTCAAATTCTGAATGAGGAGGGTATCAAAAGAAATACCTTAATAAAGTTTGTTATTCTCTTTCCATTTAAGAATTTTAACCTAGACAATGGCATGTTTAGAATAAATATCTGCATTTAACAGAGGGTAAGAAGAAATCCTATTTACAGAACTACTTTCTCTAAGCTTAATAATCAAACATTCACCACATGCTAGGCACCACACAATAAAGCAAGTACTTCAATCTAGCAAAACCGGAAAGAGCTGCATAACTCATTCCTTGTTTAATGTTTTAACATCAGAAATTACCTTAGATCAAAAAGAAAGGTTGTCATAAAAAGTATTATGTAACAGTCTTCAAACTGCCAATTAAAACAAACTAAATGAGAACATCTAAAAAGTCACCCTAATGGAGAACTTCCATTGCCAGACAAAATATTTATCATTCATTCACTTTGAAATAAAATACATTTGGATCTAGGTCACAAGATGTGGCTTTACAGAGTAAAAAAAAAAAAAAGAAAAGTGGTTTAGATCCTGTACATTTTATTATTCCTATAATATGAAAATGATAGGGAAAAAAATCCATTTACCTTTGCAATTGTCTCATTAGTTGATTCAAAGCTTCCTGAAGAGGTGTCTGTTCTACTTCTAAAGAAATCAAGAAAGGAAAAGGTATTTTTAAAGGGAAAATTCTAAAGAGTACCATGCTTATAGTCTTTCTGTATGGTTTCTCTCATTTTGTTAAACATCTTGTATAGAATTTACATCTCTTTTCATTATGCTGAAGTCTGAGGATACATATTCAAAATTGAAGCCAACTGCCTTTCTTATACAGTGAAATGGGTACAAAAAGAATAAACAAATATGCAAACCCAAAAAAACTCCATGAAAAACTAAGAAGCTAAAAACCCAATCACTTTCTATGACTCTTAAAACATTTTAAAAACCCAATCACTTTCTATGACTCTTAAAACATTTTAAGCTGCTTTAATCAGGGAAGTGAATTCAGTTATTCCAACCTTCCTGTTTGGCTAAAGAACTTTCCAGAGGCTTCTCAGGAGGCAAGTCTAGTCTAGCAGGGATCTGACAATGGAGCTCTTTTTCCGTGTCATTCTCCACATGGTCTCGATCCTGTTTCTTTTTATCCTCCTAAACGGAAAAAAGGGAGATAGTTTACAAATCTTCCAGAATCAGTATCTACACACGTACAAACCACTTCAGCGTCCAAAAGAGAAAAAGACAACTGAAAAGAAAACCATGAAGAACTCCAAATGTATTTTACTGCCATCTATGGGGAAAGGAGAGAATAACATCTGAAAGGAAAAAAACTTTTCACATGACAGAACCAGTTAGAAAAATATTACTACTCACAAGAATTTATCTATATTTTATAGACATCAGATATTATTAGAATAACATACTAAATACACACAATTTAATAATTATAATAACTTTAACAAAAAATACCCTGCATTATTTACAAATTATTGTTAGGTGCCATCAAGTATGACTCATAGTGACCTTACAAACAACAGATCCTGTACCATCCTCACAATCTCTGACACACTCAAGCCTGTGTCAATCACCTGGCTGAAGGTCTTCCTCTCTTTCACCTCCCCCCCCCCAAGTCCTCCACATGCTGTCCCTCTCCAAGGGATAATCTTTCCTAGCCACATGTCCCAAGCATGGGAGATAAAGCTTCATCTCTGCCTCCAAGGAGCACTGTGACTACACCTTCTCTAAGACATATCTGTTTGTTCTTTAGGCCGTCCATGGTATCTTCAGCACTCTTCTCCAACATCATAGTTCAAAGGCATCAATTCTTCTTCTGTTATCCTTAGTCACTATCCAGCTCTCAGATGCTTAGCAAGTGACTTAAAAAAAACCCTATAGAAAAAAATTTAGAAAAACCCAAACAGTGGGGAGCTCTGGTGGCCTAGTGGCAAGAAGCTGCACTGCAATCCCAGAGGAACACGGTTCGAATCCACCAGATGCTCTGCCGGAGCAGGAGGCACAATATCCTCCTGTACCAGTCAGATCTGATTTGACGGTACATGCACACAAAAATTTAAAAAAAAAAAAGAAAAACCCAAACAATAAAAACCAAAACCTATGGCCTGAATCAGGTGCACCTTAGTCCTCAAAGTGATATCATAACCTCAATAATCTGGAAAGGTTCCTGACTACAGAAGTGCTCAACGAATGACAGATACATCCCATTTATGACCTGAAAGACAATTAACTCCAAATTAATTACAAATTCAATGTAAAGTCAATCAAAATTGTAAAACAAGAGTTTCATGGATTCTGACAAGTTGATTGTAGTTTTGGAAAAGGCCACAATAAAATAAATTTTTTTACCAGATACTATTTGTATAAAGTAAAAATAATAAAGATGATGCAGATGTGATAAACAGACCAAACAAACCTAAACACCAAGCAAACACACATTAAAAATTTGAATGTATCCAGAAAAGGTTTATAAATCAATTAAAGAAATATGATGTTGGGACAAGCAGTTAATCACACACAAAGAAAGAAAAATTAGATTTTGACATCATAAGTCATGTGGTAAGGAGTTATACTGCCAACCCAAAGGCAGTTAGTCTGAATCCACCAGGCGCTCTGTGGGAGAACGATGTCTCCTCCTGCCTGTGAAAACCTGCTGGCACGTTTTCTAAAGAAGTGAGAGGGGAAGACACCAACAAAACTCGAACAAAAATAGTCTGTGGTGGAACTAAAAAATGGCCGAGATTGCTTCTGTGTTAAGTTTTCAAATATGAAACACAATGGGAATGAGAGACACAATGCATACTAATTTTATATGCAAGTCAGTAAACAAAATTTTGTCGGACTTCAGACAATATGAATTACTTCTTACTAATGAAAATTGATCACCTCTGACCAGGGGTAATACATGAAAAGTAAGGTGAGAAAAAGGGTTGTTTTCCACTTTGTTCACCTCTCTACTGCTCGGATTTTAAAAAATGTTATATGTATAACTGGCTTTCATAGTTTAAGAAGGAAAGGAAAATATGTTGCTATAGTTTAATCAAAATGCAAAAAAAGTTGGGAAGATATTTTAAAGAGAGAATCCCTAAGAGCTGGTAATTTAATTCATGGAGTTTGCATCTGTTATATGTGTAAACATTAAAAAAAATTTATAAGACTAAACTACAGCAAATTTAGTTTCATGATTAATTGATTTATTAAGAATCTCAGAGGTAGCTCTTGTGGTCTAGCGGTACACAATTGTGCTGCAATCCCAAAGGCTGCTAGTTCAAATCCACTAGCAGTGCTACAGAAGGATGAGCTATCTTTGGTGTGATTTACTGCCTCTGAAAACTCGCTGGAATGTCGGCTATGGGTTGGTTCCAAGTTGACAGCAAACAGCAAGTGACAAGTAGTTAAATTTGAGAACCCAGAAGGGTAAAATGACGTCAGGTATGTATATGATCATCCTTGGAAGGAAAACTAAGATCTTGTCTGTTTTTGTGAGCCAAAACAACATGTTTTTTCCTATTAAATTCAAAAGGTTAAGAAAATGTTTGTTATTGGTGTTAGGATCTTGAATGGCCAAATTTTTTCTTAAAAAATGGAATAAAACTTTAAAAGATGAAAATGGTTAACTATATATGTTATTGTTATCATGAACTGTCAAGTCAGAACAGGCTCATAGCTCCAGTAGATTTCTAGAGGCACAGAAGACTGCCCATCTTTCTCCCACAAGCACAACTGGTAGATTCAAACCATAAGCCTCTCAGTTGGCAGCGCAATTCCTTAGCACAACTAGAACAGTACACAGGCAAAGAGCTGTCAGAAATTCAAGTGAAACTTAAGTGATGCTGTGGCACAGGTTCTATAACTGCTGATGTCAGAAGGATCTTGGCAGAAAGTAAAGAATACCAGAAGGATGCCAATCTGTGTTATTGTCTCTGCAAAGGCATTTGACTGTGTGGATCACAACACATTATGGCTACTGTTGAGAAGAATGGGAATCCCAGAACACTTAACTGTGCTTATGTAAAACCTACACCTAGACCAGGAAGGTGTTGTCAGAACAGAGCAAAGCAACACTGGCTGGCTCAAAATCAAGAAAGGTGTGCATCAGGGATGTACAGTCAGTCTGTATGCTGATCAAATCAGGCAAAGAGTTCGACTTTATGAAGCAGCATGTAGAATCGGGAAAGGAAGAACCCGTGTTATGTAGATGACACAACTGTGCTTAGTGAGAAGGAATTTACACACTTGCTTCAAAGACTACATCTTCAATCTGGATTACATCTCAACATCAAGAAAAGGAAAGTCCTCACCACCAGACCAATAATAGGCAACAAACATCATGACAGATGGCAAAGAGATAGTTGGCAACGGTTTCATCTTGGCAACGGTTTCATCTTGCTCAGACCCACAATCAACATTCTTGGTATCAACAGTCATGAAATCACTTTGGGAAAATCTGTCATTAGGGACTTCTCCAGGATACTAAAGATCAATGATGCCAGCTTAAAGACTAAGGTGATTGGAGCCATGGTCTTATCAATTGCTTGTCAAGCATCTGACAGTTGGACAATGACTAAGGATGAGAGCAGAACCAATGTCTGGGAGTTGTGATGCTGGAGAAGAGAACTGAATGGACTGCCAAGAGATCAAGACAGGTATGACCTGGAGAAAGTGAGGCTAGAGTGCTCCTTGAGAGCTGCTGACTGTATTTCTAACACACCTTCCAGCATCTCCCCATTCTTCAGTAACATTCTGCTGATCAGGCCCTTATTGTAGAAAGCCTTTCCTGCACCCATCTGACCAGTTACTGATTTTCTTCCTCTCTCCCTCCATTTCCACCCAAGAATAATTCCTTGTCTTCCAACCTTTGAAGACTACTTTTGAAAATCTGAATATTGAGGTGTTCCCTAAGCATGGCTTCTCCTCTTCTCTATGAAGAATAGATCTGCACCTGTCTGAGTACAACTATTCAAGGGGAGATTTTTTTTTCCTCTTCACGTTATTGTATGCCTTTACTGAATATAGTTACATTTCTGACTATACTATTGTTCTTTAAATGTTTCCAAATGTATACAATCATCAGCAATGGTATTGTAGGCGACTACTTTAAATTTGCGTTCAAAGGAGAACAGAATGCAAATGTATTTAATTTGGACACTTCCTATCACTCACTACAAATGAGATAAGAATTTGCCATCATCTAGTAGTGAACTGTATGCATTCTCTCATTTGACCCCATTGTTGTTGTTAAGTACCCTCAAGTCAGAACTGACTCAAAATTGACCCTCTAGCAGTGCCTTTTCAGAGGCAGTAAATCTCAGAGGAGGATTTATCCTATCTTTCTCCAGTGGAACAGCTGGACTATTCCTAAAGCACAACCCTCGATTTGACAGTGCAAATCCTTAGCACTAAGCTCCTGGCCCACTGCAGAAAGGAAGAGCAATCTCCTCCCGTGTGATTACTGCCTTTGAAAATCCTTCAGAGGGTCCACTGTAGGTCAAAGGGTAGAATTTTTAAAAACAGTGACACTCCTAGGTGAAGTCACATGTGTATGCTGCTCTGCTGCACTTCCTTCCTTTTATAGGAGTTTAAACATCTCACGGGACACAAAGTCACTAACTTCAGGTTGCTATTTGGGGCATGGACTATTTAGAAAGTAGTGCCACCAGCAAAGCTGGGAACAACGCAGCCACCCCTACCTTCATTCGCCTTCGCTTCCTCCCCTTTTCTTCCCCGGGAACTTGCTTCTCTCCCTTCTTTCTCTTTTTCCGCTTTCTCTCCTTGTGTTTGTCATGATCGTTCTTGTCTTCGAAGAGGCTGGAGTCGTGCCCTGAGCTGCCGGTGGAGAGTTCGGTGACTTCGTTCCCTCCCACTTTGAGGACCAGCTTCAAGGGTTTCTCAACATACTCTGGAAGGAGAAAGGGGTCTCCGTTAAGGGAGAGCCTCGCCTGGCGGTATCAACAGGGCAGAGTGACAGCGCAGGCGGGAGGAGGTGGCGGCAAAGGCCGGGAAGGTTTTAGGGGCGCACTGTGCGAAGCACCCACTCAATGATCGACACTTGCCAAGTGGGTGCGAGGCGCCGCAGGCCCAGGATGCTCTCCAGGATCTCTCCCACCGCCCACCTTGAGACCCACCAGGTGATCGTGGAGCCAGAGTTCGAATCCCGCCCCCGCCGGTGAACCTGCGCGGGCTCCAGCAGGCCGCGCCCCCTCCGCGGAGCCGGTGGGGCCCGTGTGCGTAGCGACCCGGACCCACGCCCCGCGATCAAAGGGAAAGACCTCCACGGGCCGCCGCCGACTCCCCGGCCCGCCAGCCCGGCCCGCCTCTCACCTTCGTACAGGTGTTTGTCCGACTTGTGCTTCTTGTGCTTCTTGCCCATGTCCGATCGGGCCCCAGAGCCCGCCCCCCGCGCCAGGCCCAGGCCTTGCGGCGCCGCTTCCGGTCCGG